GCCGCGGTGGGGACGGCGGCACGACTTGGCCGAAATACCTACTTCGCGGCGGCACGGCGGCCGCGGCAGCGCAGCGCGACCAATTACCCAACACACCACACTGCAAGGGCCCAGACGGGGCCGCGCCACTGGCAGAAACGGACAGTGGCGGCAAAACAACCCCCAAACAGAAAACGAAAAACGAGGAAAACGCCGACGCACTTTGCGCTCGACAACCCAAACGCGTACGTGCACTCCGTAAAGTGCAGTGCAAAGGAGCGGCACCGCCCCACATGCGCGACGCCGAGCATCAAAGGGTCCTCCTCTGTCTGCACTGCCCACCTTCCGTACCTACTTCGCGGGGCACGGCGGCGCGGGTCGGGTCGTAACCATACCGCACACCCCCTGCACCCCGAGGCGGGGCCGCGCGCTGGCAAAACGGACGGGGGCAAGAGCAACCCAGATATATCATTAGCCGGCCGGGAAAACCCCGAGCGACTCCTGCGCTCGACACCAAAGGAGTGCACCCGTAAAGTCCCGGGAAAGGAGCGGTTTGAGCCCACACGCGACCCGAATCTAAGGTCTCGTTCATTTGTCCCAGTTCTTCCTACCCGTCATTCCCGTTTCCTGTCGTACGGCGTGCTGTGATCCGGGTCAGGTGTTCAACCGCGGACCCTCCCCGACACACGTGGTTTGACGCCGCTGGCCGAAGACTGCAAATCAGGCCAACACGGCGATATACTTCCATTATCACAGTGAACACTGAACCGGCCCTGGGGAACAGTTCAGAAAAACCGCTGTAAGTGGCCGAAACATAGAACGTTTAAGCTCCGGGAAGTTGAAAAGAGTGCGAGCGTAAGCACTCCACCAACGTGGATCCCCCAATGGTTCCTCGGAGAGCTCATTGAGGGGGCAGTTCGGTCAGTCCCATTTGGCGACTCTGGAGCTCAAAATGCGTCTAGAGTATTGGCCGCCTCCACCGGACTTCCGGCCCACTGTGGGACGCCAGCGCAGGAGGGGTGTGAAGGTGGTGCGAACCGCGCCGCCAATTCCAGGGAATTCCAGGGCAGACAGAGTCCCTCTCGCACTGCTAACTCAATCGCCCGCCAACATGGACAAGCACACCACCAACACACACTAACACACACCCACACGAACAAACGCTCACACATCGCGCGCACCGCCAGGCCGCCAGGGGGCTTGGCCGGCTTGGCTAACTCTTTCGGACCTTGGCCGGCCGCGGCAGACGACCTTCTCCAAAGCCCCATTCTTGGGGGGCCGCCTGGCCGCTTGGCCGCGGGGCCGCGTGGGGGTGGCAGCGCGCCGCGGGGTCACGCGCCCACGCGAGAGTGTGTGCGTATGTGTGCGTAGTGTGTGTGTGTGTGTGTGCCCGCGGCCCTTCAAGAAGGCCGCGTGTCCCACTTAGTCGCGCGTTTCGCTTTCGCCGCGCCGCAGTCTTGCACAAATGGGGCTCGGCCGGCCTTTGCAGCGGACTGATTCCGAGAGTCGTCGTCGTCGTCGCTCTGTCTCTCTCGCACCCGTACGGCACGCCCCACGAGTGCGAGAGAGACAGAGCGACGACAACGACTCTCGGAATCAGCCTGCGAGTGTCCGAGCAGTGCAGCCTTTGCCACAAACGCGGAACACGACAGCAGGCTGATGCCAATCTCAGCCTGGGGCGCCCCGCCGCGCCCCGCCGCGCCCCGCCGCGCCCCGCCGCGCCCCGCCGCGCCCCGCCGCGCCCCGCCGCGCCCCGCCGCCCCCCGGTGCACAATGCAAGGACTGCGAGGTAAGAGTCAGGTCCTGGCGCGCGCCCCATTCCGAAGGCACGTTCCCGTCGCTGCGTCCCCTTCGCACCCCTTCGACCAAACTGCGCACCACGTGAGCGACGAAGACGCATTCCCTCGGAACCGGGCCGAGGCAGGCCGCTGGCGGCGCGTGCGGCAAGTGCACTCGCAGTGCAGGTCCATCAGCAGACCGAGTCCGAAACTCACTTTCGTCGCTCTACCTCCCTCGCCCCGAGAACGGGGACACCCGAAGAGTGCGAGAGAGAGACGACGACGAAAAACGAGTCTCGGAATCGGTGTGCAGGCTGGGTGCACCGCGCCCCGCCCCGCGCCGCCCCGAGCCGCTCACGGCCGATCACAGCGGGCCGTGTGCCATTTGCCTACTTGCAACCCGACGCTCTCGTTCCAGGCAAACGCCAAGGCGGGCGCCAAGGCGTCAAGGCGCGGCAGGCGCGGCCAGAGGCGACCCGGCCTCGGCCCCGCGGCCCCAGCGCGGCCACGCGGCCCGGCGGGCCGGTGTGAGGTGTTGAGTTTACCCACTACCCTCGGTAAAATGGTCCCGGGACCGTTCTACCCCCCGGTTCAACGGTCCGGGACCATCTTACCCCCGGGTAGAACGGTCATGGGACCACATTACCCTCTGGCAGGAGGGTAAAACTGTCACGGGACGAGTTTACCCCTAATATGAGGGTAACACAGTCCCGGATGACATTACCCTCCGACCCGAGGGTAGAATGGTCCCGTGACTACATTACCCTCCCATATGGGAGTAACATGGACCCGGGACCATTTTACCCCCCTTTTACAGGGGAGTAATGTGTTCCCGGGACCACATTACCCCCTTGAAAAATGAAATTCAGTCGACATTTGACAGCACTATTCAGATACGGGAGTAAGACTGTCCCGGGACCAGGTTACCCCCCGCCAATGTCACCCGCTAGAGAGTACGCTGGGGGGTAAAACCGTCCCGGGACCAGGTTACCCCCCTGCCTTTTTCCCTCCCAGCCCGTGACCATTCTACTCCCTGGCGGGACACGAAGGCCGAGGGGGGTAGCCTGGTCCCAGGACAATTTTACACCCCCCCCCCCCCCGGCTACCCGGCTACTCTCTACCGGGCCACAAAGACGGGGGGTAACCTGGTCCCGGGACGGTTTTACCCCCCAGCGTACTCTCTAGCGGGTGACATTGGCGGGGGGTAACCTGGTCCCGGGACAGTCTTACTCCCGTATCTGAATAGTGCTGTCAAATGTCGACTGAATTTCATTTTTCAAGGGGGTAATGTGGTCCCGGGAACACATTACTCCCCTGTCAAAGGGGGTAAAATGGTCCCGGGTCCATGTTACTCTCCATATGGGAGGGTAATGTAGTCACGGGACCATTCTACCCTCTGGTCGGAGGGTAATGTCATCCCGGGACTGTGTTACCCTCATATTAGGGGGTAAACTCGTCCCGTGACAGTTTTACCCTCCTGCCAGAGGGTAATGTGGTCCCATGACCGTTCTACCCGGGGGTAAGATGGTCCCGGGACTATCTTACCCACGGTAAACTGGTCATGGGGGTAACATAGTCACCTCACACCGGCCAAGCGCTGCGTCGCGGCGGCGGGCGAGGACGCACAGCACAGGCCGAGCCGGCCCGACTACACTAGGGACGCGACGCGGCCCTCTAAACTAGGCCCCCGCAGACTGATGCCGAGAGTCGCTTTCGTCGCTCTGTCTCTCTCGCACTCACGGGGCGTCCCATTGAGGTGCGAGAGAGACAGAGCGACGATCTCAGCCTGCTGGTCGTGACGGAAGCGGGGATGGCCGCCAGGACGGCGACGACGGCCGGGTCATCGGCCTGCTGCTGCACCGCCACCGCGGCGCGGGCCGCGCATACCGACGCGGACCCAAATACGCGGCCTGCCCCCCGGCCAAGCAGTGTGCCGGCCCCGCGAGGAACGAGCACACTACACTGGCAACGCGATAGTGGTGCATTCGATGGAACTGCAGTAACGCGGTCGTTCAACAGCCTTCCCCGGCCCCGCCCCGCCACGCCCCGGCAGGCGTTACGGCCCCACCCACTTGTTGCCCTAGGGCCGGGACTGCCGGCGCGGTGCCGCGACAGGACAACGACCCGGGTAGCAGTGGCGGGGCGGGGCGGGGCGGGGCGTGGCCCACTCGGCGAGCGCGGCATGGCAGTGCAGCCCGCGGCGACGCGGCGAAGGCGAACTAGATCAGCTTATTAGGGCAGGTCGATAGTCGATAGTGATCGGTGTGACCCGCGAGGACCCGGCCTGGCCGACCCGGCCGGAGGCAGCGCGACCACGCGGCACCTGCTACACGTGTAGATACTGTAGCGATTATGCGGAGAAGGCGCTTTCGTCTTCGCGCTCTCTCTCTTCTCTCTCTGTCGCACTCACGGGGCACTCCGAAAAGGTGCGAGAGAGACAGAGCGACAAACGGCTGCCGACGGCAAATCGATCGCCGACAAATCAAGCAGCACAGAGCTGCCAATTTGTCTCATTTTTCGTTTCGACCCTCTGCAGGACCGGGCGCCCTCCGACTGGCCCGCCCCGCCACGCCCCGCCACGCCGCAACCCGATTACAAAATGAGCTACTTTACATGATACAGGCCCGGCCTGGGTCGCGAAGGGAAAAGGGGGCGCGTGGAGGGGGGCGCCGCGGGGTCATGAGGGGGAGGGGGAAGGGGGGATGGCCTACTCCGCTGCCCCGGCTGGCTGCAGCGCGCCGCGCCGCGCCCGCCAGAGCACCAGCCTATAGGCCACCCTGTCAGGGACGGATCCAGAGCGGGACAACCCAGATAGATCCAACGCCCCACATCAAGTGGGAGGGAGGGGGGAGCAAAAAGAAACGTGACCGAATACTAGTGTAGGTGCCCGAGGCGCTGTGCGTGTTGCGGTGCCTATGTACACGGCGTCGTGGCGTTAGCCTTGCGCTACACATAAAGAAAGAAAAAGGAGCAAGGTGCGATGCGCAAAACAAAATCACGGAGGCTCGATAAACAAAGAGAGTCACTTTTTGTACAAAATTGACACATCGCCGAGCTCAGGGCGCATAGAGCCCCAGGAGGACGGGTCGGTCCAGCGTCGCGAGAAAAATGAAAAGCAGAAGGGGAGGGCGAGAAAGAGTGAGACAGAGAGAGCGGACCTCGCGGGGTGAACGATAGGGTTTAAAGTCAGGCAGCCCACCACCTCGCACCCACACTGGCACACTGTGTGGCTGTGTTACTCACATCGGGCCTCTCAGTTGAGGACTCTTGGGCGGCAGCCTCCTGAAGACAAGAGAAAAGGTCGTCTTTTACAAGGGCATCACAACATATGACCATCTCACTCCCGCTCATGACCACGCTCTCCTCATCTCCTACAAGCTCGCCGCGAGCCTCCGCGGTCGCCGTGCTGCAATAAGCCGCTGCACCTGCACTGGAAAACAGTGGCGGAGCCAATCGCAGCGCAGCAGCAGCAGCGACCGCCGAACCGAGCGGCCGCCAGGGGCGGACACAGAACACACAACATGGACATGGTAGGCTAGGCCCTACGGACTGGGGCAAGAGGGGTAACGGCACACCTAGACAGCCGCCTGAAAGGTAGGCAAAGTGCCATACTTAGTCAAAAAGTACTCCTCCCCCTCCGAAAAGGTTCCTCTGGATCCGCCACTGGCGGCATCGCCTGTGCCGCATCGCACAGGCCGGGCAACGGGGTCACTGGGACAAGGCCGGCCGTGCGCCAGGAAGGCAGGACACTGGCAGGACATCCCCCGCCCCTGCACCGCCCCTGCCACGGCGAGAAGGACGAGCAGACGACAATGCCGAAGGGGCACGTCACGTCGACGCCACTGTCAAACGGCCGAAACGGGACCACCGCACTGCAAACGCGCGACTCGTGTGTCTCGTTACGCGCCGCGCCATTTTTCATACGCAGTGGCGGCCAGCGGACTGATGCCGTCTCCGTCGCTCCGTCCTGCTCGCACTCGTGGGGCGGCCCCTGCAGGTGCGAGAGAGACAGAGCGACGAAAGCGACTCGCGGCACGAGCTTGCCGCCAGGCCAGGCGCTTCCGACACAGCCTTGCACAATGCAACCCACTTACTGCCCATTGTGGGGCCGCGACTCTGCACCGCGAGGCACCGCGAGCACGCCGTGAGCACCGCCAGCCTTTACGACACGCCAAAGGTTACGACGGCGTCGCTTTTGCGTGCGCCGCGCGCCGGATAGTGCACTGGCAGAGGCCTGGCAGTGGCGAGGACGGCCTCCCATCCTCGCCAGGCCGCCGTCAGAGGCCGATCGTGCAATAGTGCCACGCAGCAGCAGACTGATTCCGAGAGTCGTTTTCGTCGCTCTCGTCTTTCACGCACCTGTATAGGGGACGTCCCATGAGTGCGAGAGAGACAGAGCGACGAAAGCGACTCTCGGAATCAGTCAGTCGTCAGCGCACTGGGAATGGCGTCGCCCTGCAGCCGGCAGCCCCACGTGGGGGACCACCACGTGCAGCGCGGCGAAAGCAGTGCAAGCGGCCCCGACCGGCCGCAGCAGACTCATTCCGATAGTCGTCTTCGTCGCTCTGTCTCTCTCGCACTCATGGGACGTCCCGCACAGGTGCGAGAGAGACAGAGCGACGAAAACGACTCTCGGAATCAGTCTGCTGGGAAAAAGTCACCCCGTGCCGAGGGAGGGCCTCGTTGGCGGAGGGGAGGAGCGGCGAGTAATCCAGGGAGGGGCGGCCGCCGTGGGGAGGGAGGGCCAGTACGCAGACTCATTCCGAGTGGGAGGTCTCTCTCTCTCTCGCACTCAAGGGGCGCTCCATACCGGTGCGAGAGAGATGGCCCGACGGCCGCACCGCGCGGAATCGGTCTACAGCCATCCAGGGCCCCTGCAGAGGGGTGCATCCGGACCGACCCGGACGGCCAGCGGGGAGGCTGCCGGCTTGGGGCACCCGGAGCGCCGCCGGGCCAGAGAGCAGAGCAGGGGACCCAAAACCACCCTTCCCCTCCGGCAGGGCGAGCAAGGGCGAGCGGGGTGTGGCAAACGCAAACGCTAAGGGGGTGGAATTTTCGATACACATTCGCAGACACGCCACTAGGCAACACACACACAAGCATCATCAAACACGGCACACGATAAGCACTCACACACACACACACACACTCACACAGGCACACACACAAACGCGCAGCCGCGACACGTGACGTACCTGCGGCAGACTTGGTTCAAATTTTATTCGACCGCGACCCCCTTTCAGACCTTTCAGGCCACCACGTCACGTGTCCATTTCGAAAGACCCTTTCTCCGCACCGGGCAGTGGCGTGGCGGGGCGTGGCGTGGCGGGGCGTGGCGGGGCGTGGCGGGGCGTGGCGACCTCAGAGGCGAAAGCTGTTCAATTTACACAACGCAGAGGGTGCCGCGCGTTTCCCCGGCCGGACGGCTAGCCGGACCGCCGCCGCCACATCGCCCCACGCGCACACGTGTGGTCTGGGCCCCACGGCCACACACACACACACACACACACACACACACGAACACCTGCCCACTAATCACACACGCTCATACACAGAGCTTCCAACTTTTATCACCTCCTTCCTGGCGGCAAGTGCCGGCAACGTGTGTGTGTTCTATCTGTGTTGTGTGTGTGTGTGTGTGTGTGTGTGTGTAAAACGTGAGTAAACGTGTAAACCAAACGAACACGACGGCAACGAGCGGCGTCGTCCACATTGAACCGAGCCCCGCACCGCCTGTAGCGGACTGATTCCGAGAGTCGTTTTCGTCGCTCCGTCGCTCTCGCACCAACACGGGACGCCGCATGAGTGCGAGAGAGACAGGGCGACGGAAACGACTCTCGGAGTCAGTCCGCTGCCCGAATACCTCACCCGCTTTCTTTCCGAGACCTTCAAAAATCAGAAAGTCATAGTGCTGTAGGGCCCGAGACAGAGCGAGAGGGCCGGGCCCACGCCTTGCCGCCACGCGGACGGGCGTACGGCGACAGCGCGCCAGAGCGAGACAGAGAGAGAGAGGGAACCCAGTAAACGCTTCCACGGTGGGAAAGCGACCTACAACACTTCGAGGAGCATGCTACACAGTCTCGCGGGGGGCCCAACGCACCGAGACCCTCCTCCCCCTTCCTCTCTCTTTCTCTCTATCCCGGTCACTCGTCCACCTGCTTTCTCGCTCGCTCCCGAGCAGAAGCGCGCCGCGCTGTTACAGCACAGCGTGCCCTACAGGGAAAGGCCTCTGCGCAGTCGCCGACCCGGTGACGGGGGCAAAGGAACAATTACTACTAAACCCACTTGGTCGACAGATAGCCGCCTGAAAGGTAGGCAAAACGCCACACTTTGCCCCTGAAGGTAGGCAAAGAGTGCTATTTTGCCCCTGAAAGTAGGCAAAGAGTGCTATTTTGCCCCTGAAAATAGGCAAAAAGTGCTACTTTGACCCTGAACGTAGGCAAAGAGTGCTATTTTGCCCCTGAGAGTAGGCGAAAAGTGCTACTTTGACCCTGAAAGTAGGCAAAGAGTGATAATTTGCCCCCGAAAGAAGGCAAAAAGTGATATTTTGCCCCTGAAAGTGGGCAAATAATGCTATTCTGCCTATCCCCCGGCTCTGCATCCGCATGGCGAATATCGGTCTCTGTCTGTCTCTCTCACACCCGTTTGGCCTTACTTACCGCTCGACGGCGGGCGGGGCGTGCGGGGCGGCTTGCACCAAGGGTTGCACCAAGGGTTGCACTCTGTACAGTGTACGCGGGGACGCGGCCGCCGAGTCGGCAGAGCAGGGGCACAAATCGGGCCGCTGGCATGAGCACACCAAAGTGCTAAAAAATAAAACAGAAGGGAAAAAGATTGTAGCGCTTGGCTCTGCTTTAACTTTGGATCTGCTTCGGTTTGCTAACGTTCATGGGCGTGGTAATCAAGGAGGCTTGGGGACACTGGCAGAACTGAGGCGTCCGTCTTCAAGAGTAGTAATGGTTTCTGCTGAGCTTGGCTTCAAGCCTTCAGTTTTCCTCTCCGCCAGCCTACATATCTAAATGCACAAGAGATTTTCTTGACTGGGTTTTTGACTTCAATCGTATGTGCAAGCTTGCTTCAAGCTTAGGACTGCTTCGCTTCAGTTTCACCAGTGGACCGACCCAGGAAGTGGCTAACCCTGACGACCTTGCGCGAGCGCCTCCAAGTCACAAACACCAGAGTCTTTTTCTGCGCCTCTCTTTTTGGCTGGCACTGTACAGGGTTGAAAAGAGGACTCTCCCCGGCCTCTCTTTTTGGTTGGCACTGTACTCGCCTCGACGACACGGGGTGAAAAGAGAACTCTCCCCCCGGCCGGTCAGCCACGGCCAGCCGTTCAGATAATAGGAGACAAAGCTTGCCTCCCACGAGAAGACGAACAAGACGATGACCTACTTGCAGTGGGCTGTGTGACCCCCGGCTGCAGCAGCACTACCTGGCCGGCCCAGGAGGATGCACCACGACGATCAACGAGAAAAATAATCACAGAGTGCCCGGCGGGGGAAAAACGAGGTAAAATGAAAAGGAAATAAAAACGAGATGGTGCGGCGCGGCCTCGAAAAACTAAACGGAGGTGGGAGAGGGAAGCGAGACAAAGACTTGTCTGGCCGGCCAGTGGAGTGACGACGTGAAGAAGCGACTATAACGAATAAGCAGAGCATCGGGGCCCAAGGCGCCCAAGGCCGATGCGGGGCCCACGCCGCCGACGCGGCCACGCTTGGCAGTGTACCTGCGGGGCAGGCAGGCAGGCACATGTGAAAACCCAGGGATCACAGGGACGTGAATACGCCCCCGGAGCCGGGCGGGCATGTGTGCCGCACTGCAGCAGCTGCAGCAGGCAGCCAGAAAAAGCGAAAAAGCGTCGCCCCGGCCTGCAGGCAGCAGACTGATTCCGAGAGCAGTTTTCGTCTCTCCGTCTCTCGCGCAGTCTAAAGGGGTGCGAGAGAGACAGAGCGACGAAAACGACTCTCGGAATCAGTCTGCTGGATGCGCTTCGGCTCGCCACGCACGGCTGCGCCCCGGTCCACATGGCCACAAAACGACACCGTATTTTTCCTTTTTGCAGTGCAGTGCCGCGCTACAAATAAGGATTAGAGTGTACGAACTGCACGGCAAGTGGCGCGGCGCGATTGCGCCATTGCGTCACCGCGACACGCGCGCCGCCGGCAGACTGATTCCGAGAGTCGTTTTCGTCGCTCTGTCTCTCTCGCACCCACAGGCAGTACCCTTTGAGTCTGAGAGAGACAGAGCGACGAAAACGACTCTCGGAATCAGTCTGCCTGCAG